AAACTCTTAGGTTGATTTATATAAATGTCTTCTTATAAGTCACCATACAAGAAAGCAATTTTAACATCAAGTTGCACAAGCTTAAGATTCAAACTAGCTATTAATCCTAGTACCACTCGAATAGAACTCATCTTCACAACTGGAGTGAAGATCTTATCAAAATTGATGCCTGATTTTTTAGAAAAACATTTTACCACCAATCGAGTTTTGTACCTCACTAATTTGTCACCATCTTTTTTCAACTTGAATATCCATTTATTCTTTAATAATCTTTTCTTTTTTGAAAGTCTAACAAAATCATAAATATCATTTTTTCACAATGACTCCATCTCTTCTTCCATTACTTTTAATCAATACTCTTTATCCGGAGTAGCTTACATATCTTAGAAGCACTCTGGCTCTCCTTCACTGGTAACTAAAATAAAATCTGAACTTGAATATCTAGTAGATGGCCTGTGCTCTCTAGTAGATCTCTTTGGCTGAAACTTTACACCACTTGATGTCGAAAGTAGCTCTCCTTGCTCAATACTCTCAAATAGAAAAGATTACTTTCTCTGTTCAAACTGATTGCATCTGACTCATCACTAACTATGACTAGCTCATTCATATCCTCAAATTTTGTTTCTTGCTCATTTTCATTATCTGTGGCTTTTTTCTGTGGAATCGTTGTCGATGCTAAAACATCACACTCAATAGTAACTCATGTAGTCTTCTCATTTTTTAAAGTCTGTTATGGTTCTTTTTCATAAAAGATCCTATCTCTGCTTCTGATTGTCTTACTCTTCACTAGATCCTATACCCTTAACCAAATTTTTCATCACCATATCCTACAAATATACACTGTGTGACTTTACTGTTAAACTTTGATCTCTATTCTTTTGACACATGCATGAATGCTTTACATCCAAAATTTTTTAAGTAAAAGTATGAAGCATTTTTTTCTGTCCACATTCTTATTGGAATGTCAAATCCCAAAGAAATTGATGGTGATTTGTTAAGCAAATAATAAGCTATGTTGACTACTTTACCCTAGAATGGCTTTGGTAATTTTGTCACCCTCAATATATATCTGACTTTTTTCTTAATGGTGTGGTTCATTCTTTTAGCTATACCATTATGCTACGATATTTTAGGTTCTATCATCTTATGCCTAATCCCATGTTTTGAATAGTACTTTTTAAGTCTTTGGATATGTATTCCCTATCATTATCAGTTCAAATATACTTCAAAGACAATCCTGTCATTTTTTTTACCATTAAAAAATACTACAATACCTGACTTTTATTTTTCAATATATACACTCAAGTCTTACGTGAAGCATCATCAATAAAAGTAACAAAATACCTACTACCACATAATGACTCAATCTCAAGGGGACCACATACGTCAGAATAAATTAATTCTAATATATTTTCTTTTCTCTGAGAATTATATGAAAAAAAATCCTACAATGCTTATCAAACAAACAATGATTATATGAATCAAGAGATATATCTTTGGTCAAAAGAATGAGAGACTGTCTTGCCAAAACCTGTAATCCTTTCTTACTCATGTGTGCTAGTCTCTTGTGCCACAAGTTTGCTAAAGCATTATCCTTAACGGTATTAATATGCTTGATGTTCAATTGTATCCATGTCTTATATATTGTGCAGTATAGTTTTCTCTTACAACTACCATAGATCTTTTGAGAAGCTTCCACTATCCACTCTTTTGTTGATTCTTATATCTTTTTTATTGAGGATATTAATAGCAAGTAAGTTTATTCTTATATCCAGAATATGTCTAACATCTCTCAAAGTTAACATGCAGACTGTACTAATTTGTACAATAATATCACAAATCCTAACAATCTATAACATACTATTGTTTCCTATCTTGGTGCAACCAAAGTCTCTTACTTTGTAAGTTATAAATAACTCTCTCTTAAGAATACAATGATATGCCACTTCATATGTCAACTATCCACTCAATATTGGAATCATTAATATGATTACAATCACTATGTGTACAAATCAAAGTAATTGAATTACTATATGAATTCATTGCTGCAATATTGCTATAATATGAACTCTTACCTTTCTTATCTTTTTGCTATTGCTTCAAGATTTTACAGTGTTATTTTATATAACCTGTTTTATCATAATCGAAACACTTTACTTTATCTCTGGACTTAGATCTATGTTTAGACTTACTCCGACCGTTTGAGTTTTGATCTCTGTTAATGTTTCTACCCCTGTTCTCTAAGACCAGAGCTTGATTTTCAGGGTCTATATATTTTCACCTTGCTTCTTTATTAAACATATTAATTTTTTATCATATCTCTAATGTCACCTTATAATCAGGAGCTGAATTAAGAATAGTCACAACAAGCGTATTCCAGCTATCTAGCAATGACCCAAAAAAAATCATGCCTTCATTTCATCATCCATCTTAAGCTCCATAGTAGTCATCTGATTAAATATATCTTGAAAATTACTCAAGTACGTTGTAATAGATCGTCTATCCCTGTACTATAAAGTTGTAAGCTTTTCAACAAGCATAACTTTATTCATATATATTTTTTCTCATACAATGCTGTTAATTTTTTTCAAACAATGTAGGCATCTACCTCCTACACTACATGATGAAACACCCTAATATCAATCTATTTTTTTATTGTAGCCAACATCTTTCTGTCTAACTTCTTTCAGTTTTCATTTTTCATATCTGTTGGTTTAACCGAATCACCCAATATCGGTTCATACAAATCTTTACAGTATAAATGATCTTCCATCATAGGCTTTCAAGTTAAATAATTTGATGCTGTCAATTTTATCATGAAACATGTATCACCCTTCATGATCTCAAATAAAATTTACTTTTGTCTTAGGCTATTATGTATTGATGTCTTAAAAATAACCATCGTTTTAATACCACTTGTTGGGCCTGAAACAATAAACACAATAAAGCAGAAGCAATATATTGTAATAAACCCACAGTAATAGACAACAATCAACAATCAACAATACAAAAAAAATAAAAGTACACCAAGATTTACCTAGAAAACCCTTCAATGTAAAGGAAAAAATTACGGACCACCAGAAAAATCTTCACTATCAAATAATGGATATACAAAGTTCTTCTCTAACTAAAACTAAAGCTAATCAACAACTAGAAAGAGATAATTGAAGAAATCTCACCAAATAGGTGATTCAACAAATACACATTGAATTTGTTTATAAAGAGCTTCAAACCCGATCTTCACCATTCAGAATGTAAAACTTTGAATAAAAAATCTACTGACAAAATTTCAGTTCATTCGGACCATGGATCAATTTTCGTTCAACAAACTATCCCTTCTTCCTTTTCTTTCTAGCTTTATGGCTTTTCTTCTTTCTTTTCTTAGTTTGTGACACTACCTTAAAATAGTCCCACCTTTTTTTATTAAGTATTTAAGACTTTGTGTAAAAAAAAAAAGATTAAGGCCCATAGCCTTTGATTGGTCCAAACCCAATTACATGGGGCTGAACGCCATTTTCCTAACAAAAGAAAAGAAATGAAAAATGGAGGTTCAGAGGATGTTGAATATTGAAACCCTAGAGGTAGAAGATACTCATTGTCCTTGTAGGAAAGGCTTGTAAAAATTTTTAATTTAGTATTTTAGTATTTGAGATTTTAAATTTTAAAATATAATTTAGTTTAAATTACATTTGATTGATTAAATTTTAAAAATTAAAAAATGACATAGTTTAATTAATTTAATTTTAAATAATTCAATTCAAAATTAATTAAACTAATCGTAACAATATTAAGATGGTAATAAATAATAAATAAATCAATATTTGTTATTATTCGATCTGTTTATGTCAGATTCATATAATTATAAAAAAATAATTAACGGATATGAATAATATTTTTAAATATTCAATATTTGAATCTGATTAAATTTTAGTTAATAAAAATAAATATTTAAATCCGTATTCAAATTTATCATCAGTTTACATATGTAAAACATATAAAATTTTATATTTGTAAAAGATTTTAGATCTTAAAAAGTAATTTTTATTAATTATTAATTAAAAATAAACTTAAATTTTAAATTAAAATTTTATTTATTTTATATTTTGATAAAAAATTTAAATAAACAAATATTTAACATATTTGAATATTTAAACAAATAATATTTCTTTAAATAGATTTAAATTTAGACAATAATATTAATTTTAAATAAATAATTAAATAAATTTAAATATTATAAATATTAAATAAATTCAAATTCAAATATATCAAAAATAACAATACACATTTCGTTGTCATTCTTATTTGAACCTTGAGCTTCAGGGTAACATTTGAGGCAAGGGCTAGGCCTAGAGCTGTAATCGAGCCCGAGCCGAGTCGAATAGTGAGAAGCTCGAGCTCGAGCTCGACTTACAATTCGGGGTTCGATACTCGACTCGAGCTTGATCGAGTTTTATTTTTCAAGCTCGAATTCGATTCGTGATCGAATTCGAGCTACTCGAGCTCGCTCGATTAATGTGTAAAAATAAGCTCGATTCGTATGCTCGATAAGAGTTCGATTATTCATGCTCGAACTCGAACTCAGACTCAAAATATTTTATTAATTAAAATAATAAAAATATATTTAAATATAAAAGCTCGATTAGGCTCGCGAGCTACTCGAGTCAGATATAAGAATACTCAAATTCGACTCGATCGATAAATCGAGCTACTCGAGCTCGAGCTCGAGCTTGACTCGATAATAATTGAACTGAATTCGAGTTTTCTTTAAATCGAATCTGAGTAACTTACGAATACTAATGTATCATTTACACCACTAGTTAAACCTAATGTTAACCAATTTCCAGCCCCTATTTGCCTTGATTTGCAGCCCACGGACCTTTGAGAAAGGAAGGGGCTTTGGGCAATTTTTTTTTGGATTACTGAAATTTTTATTTAAAAAAAAAAAGCAGATATCAACGTAACAACGCAGTCAAGGGTTTTAGGTTTAAAGGTGTGGACGCTTCGTTATTCTTCTTCATGTCTGGTTGCCGCTACCATTCGGCCATCTCTGCTTCAACCCAGGGTTGCGGCCTGAGGCCTCTATGCATAAAAAATAAACTAGTTTGTCATCTTTGCCTTTGAAATCCAGTCCAGCCGCCACCCATCTCTTCTAACTTCTTCTCCAGGTCAGCTCAACCTTTTATTTCTTCTATCCCTTCATTTTCAAGTCCAATGATGTTGAATTCATATATACATAATTTTGTTTCCATTTTTTTTTGTTCTGTGCAAGTTTTGTTCTCTACTTTAATTTCTTAACGTATAAACTAGCAGAATGCTGGAATAATTCGTGAATAGATTTGGTTTTTGTTAGTTTGTATTTATTTATTAAGCTTAATAAATAATCACTAAAAATATTTTTAACAGATTATGAAGGTTGCAAATGTTTGTTCATATTCGCTTAGTCTAAACTAATAGAGCATTCCAGCATTGACCAAAACAGTTCGTAAACAGCTTTGTTTTGTATTTGTTTGCATTTGTTTAGTAAGCTTAATAAATAATTATGAATAACACTTAAGTATTCGTTAATTAAATAAACAGTTTATGTATCTAACAAAATTTATTCATATTTGATTCATTTAAATCAAATGATTATGTTGTTTTTGAATTATTTTCAGTTATGTTTGTTAGTGTAATTTCTTGATGTTACGATTTTATCATTTGATGCTGCTATTCGTCTTTTCCATGAATATCTCTACTTTTGTATTTCACTCATAATAACTTGAACTTCTTGTAATTTCCTTTCATTCAGATTTCAACTAGCTTGTGTGGAAATAGCAGAAATATATCTGCTGAAGTACCCGCCACCATGGAGATTGAAACGGTGCCTTCTGAACCTAAACCCGAGTCTGATTCATTGCCCCCAAAGCCAAAATTTGAGCCTCTTAAGGCTCATGAGATGTCAGACGGTCGAGTCCAGTTTAGAAAGGTCTCAGTTCCACCTCACAGGTATTCACCTCTCAAGAAATACTGGATGGATGTCTATACTCCAATTTATGAACAGATGATGATTGATATCCGTATGAATCTGAAAGCTCGGAAGGTTGAATTGAAAACGAGAACAGACACGCCTGACATTAGTAACCTACAGAAATGTGCAGACTTTGTCCAGGCTTTCATGTTGGGATTTGATGTTGCGGATGCCATTGCACTTTTGAGGTTGGATGAGCTATATGTGGAGTCATTTGAAATCAAGAATGTCAAGACGCTTAGAGGAGAGCACTTGTCTCGTGCTATCGGAAGGCTGTCAGGGAAAGGCGGTAAAACAAAGTTTGCTATTGAGAATGCTACAAAAACTAGGATTGTCATTGCTGACACCAAGATTCATGTACTAGGATCTTTTGCCAACATCAAGATTGCCAGGAATTCTCTTTGCAGCCTCATCTTAGGTTCCCCTGCTGGTTAGGTTTACTCAAAACTTAGACAAGTTACTGCCACATTGGCAGAAAGGTTTTGATCATTGTTATTTGTAATATGTTTGAGATTTTGTTCTTCAGTTATATGGATATTTTTCGGTCATCCACTGTGAACCCTTGAAAAAGGGAAAAAAAATGAAAAAGAAGATCATCAACAGGATAGAGTATTCTTTGGAGTGTAATTTGAGATGAAATTTTGCAGGGTAGCATTGAGTGAATTTCCTTGAAAATATTTTTATTATGTTTCTTTAAGAATTTTACAATGAAATTTATTCTACTGATGATGTGTTTGTATTCCTTGGTCTGTGGTTTGTGGTATTTTAGCATAAGCTCTACAAAATTCTGCCCGGTGAGTAGTTTCTTGGCTGTTTCAGATCTAATAATCTAAGGTGACATGATATGAATCTGATACAAAAAAATGATATATGATATAAAGGTAACATAGTTTAAAATTTTTAAAATAGTTATATACGGGCTAACAAAATTAAAAATATATATTTTATGTTTTCGTGTAAACATGAATTATAATAAGTAATTTTTATTAAAACACCATAAAATTACATGAATTTAAATATATTATATGATATAAATACATAAATCGTTAATTTCAGTTATTCATATGAGAAACTTGGCATCTCCTACCATCCTAGACAGCAAATCATTGGTTTTTTATTTTCAATTTATTGTATCAGGTAAGCGTTATTCTCACAATTTGAAGTCAACCGGGCAATTCTTATATTCATATTGTGTCTAATACTTCTAAAATGCAAAAACTATTATATCACAGCGTTAACATGTCAAACATGAAACATTTTTAATTTTTGTCAAATTTATATATTATTTTTGTCAAAATTTTAAACTGCATGACTTTTATATATTTTTTTATCATCTTGAATTTTAAAAACTTCTCAAGAGGAAATAAGTCTGTTTGACAATTATAATATATCTCAGTACCAACAGTAACGGACATGGCTATTGAATCTGCAGTTTAAAAAAAATTGTTTCAATTGAGGAAAAATCATAGCAGTTCCAGCTTTGTTTTGAATTGCAACACTTGGTCAGTTATTTATAAACAGTTCAAATCAAATGGATATAAAGTATAGAATTTGCAATGTGTAAAAGTTTGTAGTTGAATAACTGAAATCAACATTATTTCTATGAATGAAAATTGCAAGTCATCTTCAGCCTCCAAAGAGAATCCCAGCAGCCTGCTCTTCATTGCCATCACATATTTTAAGAGCTTCTATCACCATTTCTCTTGCAAACCCCAGCTCAACAAGCTTTGCAACTTTGGCTTCAAAATCAGGTCTCTGCAGAAAAATAATATTTCATTAGCATTTGGGACAATCATTTGACCTCACCAATAACCGAATAAAGTGCTGGATTCTTAGTTTCAGTGTATAGGGATCAATCCCTGGTAGCTTCAAGTATAAAAAATTAATTTGACCTTCAGACTTAAGCTAGATCAAAATTGGTTATTTTTTAGTACAAAGGAGACCGTAATCTGAAAATAGAAGAAAGGGTCACAAGTGCTAAGATTTAAATTTCAAACCTCCTTTTTCGCACAAACTGCCAACTTGATCACAAGGTAGCTAAGAATGAATTCTCACATTTGCAATAGCGATCAACTTGAAAATATATAGAAACATAACCAACTTCCTCATGTTTCAAGCACAGCTTAGAGAAATGTTCTGCAAAGAACCTGGAGCTTAGCTCTATAGGTTCATGCAGCCACTTTTAAGAGGTCGAATCTAGAAGGTCTGAGATTCAAATTTCAATATCTGCTACCTCTTCTCCCATCCCAAGGTTTCGTTCTCTTATGTACCAAAGAGAGAAATATTCTGCAAAGCAGGCTAGAAAGGAGTAAAAGAATTGTTCAGAGCAGACATACCTGTGTTACATCACCGCGTGCACCTCCTGGGAGCGAAGAAGAAAAAAGGAAAGAAATTCAGAAGCAGAATAAGAATCACTTAAAAGACAGCTCTTTCAAACAATAAGCTTGTTTTTAGAGGAATTTCTGGAACAAAAGTGATATGAAGCACGCCATAACATGAGTCGGATGCAGATTACCAACCAGAAGATTGACTTCCAGATTGCGCATTAGTATTCTTCTCTGTTGTTCCAGTTTTCACCTGAAGAATCATAAAAGATCAGTGCCAAAAAAAAAAAAAAGCTAAAATGCATCTCCACTACACAAAACAATATAAAATTAAGGAAATGTAGCTATATTCCCCACAAATACGGGCATTTGTGGATGCCATATAATTCTTCTGTGAGACAAAATTTCAAGGTAGCAGACTTACAGCAGCCCCTGAGCTGGATGCTTGCTTCGAATACCTTTCTTCTTCCAGGAAACGAGAAGGGATGTCCTTTTCTGAGAAGAGCAAATAGTTGGTTAACTTCCATTATAAGAAAAGAAATTCAGTAACACAAAGTCACAAAAAGATTGGCATCAACGAGCAGATGGTAATTGGTAACTTTGGAACACTTGCACAATATACTTATTACAGTTATGGGTGTAAACGAGTCAAGCTACTCATGAGCTATTCGAATGCGACTCGAAAATATTCAAGCTCTAACTTGTTCATTGCCATGCCGAGCACAAGCTCAAGCTACTTGAGTAACAAGTAGAGCTGAGTTAAAGTAGTTTAATACCCAATGCGAGAGGCTCTGAGCCTACTCAATCTTAATTGAATTTTTATTTTTTTTAAATATATTTAACATGTAAGTGACAAAAAATATTGTGTTTAATGTAATATTTACAATTTTATCGAGCCGAGCTCAAGCGGCTTAATTAAATTACGAACCGAGCTCAAGCATGAAAAATAGAGCTCAAGCATGAAAAATAGAGCTCGATCAAACTCGAATCAAGCTTCAAGCCTCAAGGTTTCGAGTTGAGCCTAGCTCAAGCATGGCAATGTATCAATTTGGCTCGATTACACCCCTAATTACAGTCACCAACCTTGCAAAAATGGTACAGAAACTTCTCCTCCTCCAACTCTAAGAACACTCAAGCATGGCAATATATCAATTTGGCTCGATTATACCACTAATTACAGTCACCAACCTTGCAAAAATGGTACAGAAACTTCTCCTCCTCCAACTCTAAGAACATTCTCCTTCAAATCAATAATACACTGTACAAATGAACCCAAATAAGTATTATGCAAACTTAAAGAATTTAAGCACTAAAATAGATGGATATGTCAAGATATTAAGTAGAGATGAAGCTACCTGGTGTTTACGAAGCATATCCAATCCAAAGAGAAACTCCATATTTGGAGAGTCCAAAACCAAGAAAGAGCAAGGATAAAATATATTTCCAATCTACAATAACATAAGAGAAACCAAGAAGTTGGATGCAGCATTAAGCATAATGACTAATAATAAACAAGACAAAAAGGAAAAAGAACTAGAAAACCAGTTAACATCCTACTTTGATCGGAGCGACGTGTATTCGTCCCAGTATCTCTGATTGGCCAACTCCATGAGCAATACCTTTATATCTTTGATCTAAAAGCCTCAGCAATCTGGAGGGGACAACACCAACGCAGCAAAATAAATGTCGTTGATTTTCAAGTCTAATGAAGTGACAAATATAATTGCATGACAAATTAAAGAATGGAAACGAAACATTCAGTCAACAGAATCACCCCTTTTCAAGAAGCCAGACAATGATGTCATTACAAAGCCCAAAAAGACAAAATGTTTACAGCACATACCCACATCGCTCAGCACAGCTTCTTGAAATTATTGTTGACTGAGCACCACTATCAACAAATGCCTAAAAAAATGATAAAGTAATTAACTCAATAAACTTCTCTAAGTCCAATATTCAACATCAAGGCATATGTGACAGAATAATATTAAGATAATGCAGAATCTCAACTAAAACATTATAATAAACAACTGCAAAAGAGTTCCTTGAAAGTGTGAAAAAGAATGGAAAAGTAAAAGAGAATGTAATGCAAAGTGTATGATAGAACCTATAGGTTACAATCAAATGATGATGAACCCTTGTGCAATATATACACACTACAGGACCAGGCATTGTCTTTACCTTCAATGGAACACCATTAACCTCCATGTCCACATACAACATAACCTGATTAGTATGACAAGAAACGTTATATTCTTCTGGGAAGAAAGTAATAAAATTTAATAGGTATACTTCAGAAGGGAAAAAAGCCCACATACCACCCTTGCAAAACCTTCAGGGTTATATTCCAAGGCAGCAGCCCAGTTCTCATCAATCCCTTTCTGCATCACAATATTGTAAAACTCAAATAGCCAAAAGATCATATTCTCCAGAAAAATGAGTGATAAATATGGAGATACAACATCCTTTGTCGACCCATAAATTAACATATGACACATTTCAAAATGCGAATAGGTTGCCATTAAGTTATATTAGTAGATTGTTGCAGAAAACTAACCTGCCGAATTGCAGCTTCAATTTTCCTCTGTGCTTCAACATCAAAAGGATCAGCCTGAAGAAGAGCCTACGGAGAAAAAACAAAATAAATGTGTATCAATCAAAGAGATTATCAGGGGCAATAAAATTTTATGATTAGTATGATTATGCTCTTTTAGTATTTAGAATGTTCTTGATAGTTTTATCAAATTATGATAGAATACGTGAAACACAAAGAAATAGTGTGGTACATTAGACCACTGTTTCACAGCCAACTATAGGCACAGGCAACCAGGAGAAACTACTCACAATCTCCTCCTCCTCCCGTCGTCGTAATTGAGATCTTTGTTGATGACGAGCTCGCAGAATGTCCTGCAGTTTGTTGAGATCATTTCCAACAACAGCTTGTGCAAGTTCAGGATCAGTCTGAAATAGTTGTCCAATTAGATTAGAATCACGTCGAATGTGTTGCTGCAAAGCTCCAGGGTTCACAGCAGATCCGTCGGGATTGAATCTCAAATCATTGGCAGGTGCACTGTAACGATTCAATTTTATCAATCAACATAAAAAAGAATAAAATAATGAGAGGGTTTCTTTCCAGGAACTAAAAATACAGGAAAAACAGCCACCTAAAATCTCATAATAAGCATCCAGGCCAGTTTTGGATAGATATCCACAACCTTTCAAAACCACTAGTGACATTTCAAAATTTCAGAATACAAAGAAGCAATTGAATAACCATTTCATTTACCTAGAAACAGCACCGGAGACCATCATAACTAAATCATCATCCTTAACACCCAATGCACTCAATTTCTCAAAGTTCTTCATTTCCCTCCCATTATACAGCAATTGCTGCTGCTGCAGTGGCACCATAGTCTGCCCACAAACCCAAACAAGCTCTAAGCAATAAGAATAAAGTTAGCTCCACAGGCAACTCCCAAAACTCCAAAACTTACAAAGATAACTCTTTTTTGTGAAACAAAAAGAAAAAAATTGAATCTTTTATCAACTAATATAAGCTAAAGAATCTCAACAATTAACTTTCAAAAACACAAAACCCTCAGAAGTAAACCAAAGAAAATGGAGCATATATAACCAGAGGGTATTGATCTCTCACCTCCACTTCCAGCAAAGCTTTCAAATTTTCAACCTGGTAGAAACAAAGGAAAAGATATCAGCAAAAGAATTGAAATTTAGAACAAGTACAAAGATGGGACAAAAGGGTACTCAACAGTTTCATGAGGATCAACATCTAAGCTAAGGATCTGTTCATCTGCCGTCATTACAGTGATTCTCATCCCGTCTTTGGCTTTGGGTCTTCTTTTCTCCGCCTGTGTTTGCTCTTGTTGCCTGTTGGGTTTAAAGGAAATGAAAGGAGAGGACTTTACCTGCGTTCACTGCTCCATTTGAACTTGTTATCACAGAGTTTCGGTTCTGTGTTTAACTTGGTGTGCAAGAAGAGGAACAGGTGCAAATGATTGTCTACACTGCCGAGTAGAGTTGAAGGTTTACATGGCATCTCGTTATTGGTAATATAGGTGGGTACTAATTTTTTTGACCACGAGTTAGGCAAATAGTGATTAGATGGATGAGCAATTGAGCTCTTCAAATTCTAATAATGATCAACTCCATATTGTGACTTTTTGGAATAAAATTTGAAGGAAAAACTGGGATGAAGTTATTAAGCGAAGAGAAGTTACTTATTAAAATTGAATAAATTAAAAAATTTAGTCTTATAGTGTAAAATTTTTTTTTAAAAAATTATAATAAATTTTGATATATTTATTAAATAGATATTTTTTATAAAAATATTAAAATTTTTTTTACTAATTAATAAATATTGATTAAATTTATATTATAAATAATATTTTTAATAATTTTTTTATATATTATTGATTTTCATATTAAATTCTATTAATTTATGATTTAAATTTTTATTAAAATTTTTATTTACTCAATTTTAATAAAAAATTTTATGAATTTTATTTAAAAAATTTCATGTAAATTTTGTCCAAATTTGTATAGATTTTAAGTGGTTTTGAATGGTGTATTAAGGTATGAGTGTTAATGTTATGAATTGTATTTAGTTATTGGAAAATGTTAAATGTAATATTTAAATTTTAAAAATTATTAATGTGATATTTGATTTATGATTTTATTAATTAATACAGTATTTAAAAAATTATTTATGCATCAAGTGTCATTATTTAGATTTATTTATATTAAAAATAATTATCATATTAATTAATAAATTTATAATTAAAATATCACGTTAAAAATTTTTAAAATTTAAATATTATATTAAATATTTTATTATAATATAAAAATTATTTATAACATTAACTCAAGATAATCACCATCCAATATATTTTGGCTTCAAAAAATGACTGGAGCATAATTTTCTTTTAAATTTTTAATTTATCTTTGAAATTTTATTTTAATATTTATCTAATAAAAAAAATTATACACATAAACTCTTTCGATTCGAAATCTTCAACTCTAATAAGGTACCACTTCATCTAAAAGTCAGTGTCCTCAATACAGTTGACTCATCGTAAAATTGTAAAACATGATCTTCAAATGGATATATGGAATGTCCAATTGAGGCCCTATCAATCCTTTTGGAACATAATCCTTTTCCCCGATCAACTTCATCAAAAACAAGATAGATTTGAGAATGTTTTTCACAGTTTAGACCAAATTTCACTGAATCCATCGATGCATTTGTCGGCAACGGTGACATTATAATTTACTTATGAAAATTCGTAATCAATTTGTAAGATATTTATTTAAAAATTTTAAATTTTATTTAAAAATTTTAAATTTTATTTAAAAAAATGTTATATAAATATAACAAATTCTCATAATATCTCAATAATATTGGGTTTTACACGATCAAGCTGCAATCTTATTTGCAAAAATGATTCAGATTTAGTAGGCAAAAGCAAAGGAACAATGAAAACAATAGAATTAAACTTGATAAATCCCAACAACGAAACAATCCCAATTGCCAAATATAATACGAAAATAAAAACAAAAAAAAAAAAAAAAACTAAAAAGGAGGAGGAGCTGCATAAACCAAGAAGGGCCTTCCACAAGAAGAGAATTTATGATCACAGGGGTAATAATCCTCGTGCAATGTATCCTTGAGCTTGTGAAACCCATTCTTGAAGACCCCAAATCCAAACAAAAACCCAACCAACACCAGCACCAGGATTAGGCATGTGCACAGCATGCACACTCTGCTCCCACAACACATCTTCTTTGGTCTTTGAACAAAAAAAGAAGACAACTGTCTGCCTTTGTTGGGCTGTTTCTGGGGATTTTGTGTCTGGGTTTTTTGGTTTGAGGGTGCTTACAAAGAGAAAGAAAGAGATGTGTTGAAAATACTTGGACGTTTGGGGTATTGAAATTGCATTTGTTGGTGTTGGCTGTCTTAAAAGGTAAGTTTTTAAAAGAAAAACTTCAAATCCCATGTCAATTTGACATAATAATGCATGAATAAGACAATTCAACAGTGAGTAACTTTGCTCAAGAGTGGATTTTAGGATTTCGGATGGGTGATCCTCAGCTGATGCAATTGAGATAGTGATTGGGTTGGTTGAGTTGTTAAATTGGGCTTTTTGGCCTATTATAGAAAGCATTTCCAGACTCAAATTTCTAATCTTTAATCATGATGTGCTTTAATTTTTTGTTTAAATACCAGATAGATTCTTCCATCTCTAAATAAGAGAAAAATATTTCATATCTTATAATTTAAAAATAATAATTATAAATTATATATTCAAAATTATTCAAATAAAAAATTACTGATTAAATTAAAACTCAAAATCTTAAAATTTTAAAAAAAAATTTATATTTATCAATTCAATCAAAATTTTGTTGATTTTAATTATGATGTGGTTCAAAGGCAAAATTATTGAGTTCTTGGATAAGGCATAATTATTGACTTCTTAGACCATAGGCTATCAATTAAAGTTAAAACATGGGCTGATGAAATCTGACAAACTTCCATTGATTGCAGACATCCTCTCTACCTTGCTTTTTGGGTGCCTTACTAGTAATAAAAGGGTATCAATATCTCATCTTCAATACTAAATTTCCGAACTTGAATTGATTGTTAGAGTTTCTATTTTGAAGTTATAATAAGAATGTTTTTATTTTAAAGTTATAACAAGATTTTTTTAAAATATAAAAGACAACACTTTAAAAATTAAAAAAAATTATAAATTTTAAAATTCAAAATTTAAAATTTTGAAATATCAAAAAATTATATGAATTAATTAAATTGAATTTAAAATTAAAAATTATAACAAAAATTTACAATCATAATGTTTTAACCTTACATCACAAAATTAAAAAAGAGGAAGCAAAAAATTTATAAAAATAAAAAACCCTAGTACATCCAAAACCTCAAAATAAACATGATAATTCATATATTTTTATTTTATTTATTTTATGTTAAATAAATATAAACTAGGCAAAAAATCATACAATTCATATAAGTAAACTAAATAGTAAATACAAAACATATATTTCGCTTTTTCTAATTTTATATATAATTTTTATCAAAATTTTAAATTATATTATTTTTAATATTATTTTTATGGTTTTTGTGTTATTTCTATATATTTATTCAAAATTATCATATCTAACATCAAAATAAAATATCACATTTCTTATTTTCAAATATATATATATATTATATGAGATAGCAACCCTCATGTTATTCTTGTTTATTATTTTATTATCTAATATATATTGCAATAATAAAATATATATATCAAAAAATAAAATGAAAACGATACATCTCAGATATCTCATAAATTTTAAAAGTAAGAAAGTTACAATAGTAAAATTAAAAAATATCATATTTTTTGTAATAAAAAAATATAAATGAATCTCACATAAGTTATGAATTAATCCATAATTTCAAATAAAATTACTTACTTATTTCATCTTTAAATCATTAATAGGTTGTTGTGTTTATTTTATTATTTTTCATTAAAATTTTTATTATTAAATCAAAATTATAACGGAATAATAATATAATAAATATACAATTTTTAAAATTGAGAAAAGAAAAAAAAAACGTGCTTGAATTGAATGAGAGATTGTAAATAATCTCAATGAAAAATGGGTAATGAGATAATCATTAAACAAAGTTTAAATTTGATGATACAAGAGAAAAGTTGTTTTATTTCAATTGGAAGTAACATATTTTTAATGAAATATTTTTCGTAAAAAAGTTGTTGAAGAAAAATGCGTTCAACAAATCATCGGCAGGACCCAAATTGGGAAAAACCTTAAATCCAACATAGAAAACGAATTTTTTAAAAAATTAAGTGAAAAATATTTATATTTACAATCGATGGATTTTTTTTAGAGTCAAAATTGAAATAGGAGATGAATTTTAGACGATAGAGATGAAAATATATGTTTGCTATTTTTATATATATATATATATATATATATATATATATATATATCATTTCTTCCATTCCACCCAAAAGATAATCGTATTTCCTCTTTAACCCAATCAGCCACTCCCAATTTTCTGTCTCAAGTCCCCCCCCCCCTCTTCACTTCCAAGTCACCATCTTTCAGGTTCAGGGGACTCTCCTCTTTCTTCTTCTTCTTCTTCTTCTTTAGCTCTCTCAAAAATCTCTTCTTTACCTCCTTTCTTCACTCAGATCTCTTCGCTTGTGCCCCAAATACAAATACCCATCTTTTTACTTCTACAAAAATCACTCAAACCATAAAGTTCCTTTCTTTTTGAGAGAGATGGCTTCAACAGGAAACCCAAATCAAACCATCCCATTTGACGTGCACAAGTTCTTCAAACCCACGATTTCAAACCCTTCAACGAATCCCCCACAATACCCAAATCTCTCTTCTCCTTATCCGACACCCCCTTCTTCTTATCCTCCTCCCTCTCCCCCTTTCTTTCATCCCCAGTATCACCAATTCTACATGCCTCCTCCCTCTGCTACCCATCCAAATTACCAAAACGCCCCACAAGATGCTAAATCATTGTCCTTTCCTTCTCCTCCTCTTAGCCCGTACAATGCTGGAACCCAGATTCTTGCCCTCATCAACTCTTCCCCTCAAAACCCAGATTTCCCACCTCAAAACCAGCTTTCTCAACAGCAGCAATCACCGCCTGCTGAGTTTTTGGGGGGTCCTAATGTGGGGCCTTTAAGGGTGCCAAGTTGCAAACTGCCCAAGGGCAGGCGGATGTCAGGCGCTCAGATAGCTTATGATATTGATACGAGGCTGTCAGGGGAGGCTCAGCCGCAACTTGAGGTCACTCCCATAACAAAGTATGGGTCTGATCCTCAGCTGGTACTGGGCAGGCAGATTGCTGTTAACAAGTCTTACATTTGTTATGGGCTGAAAGGAGGCAACATTAGGATTCTTAATATAAACACTGCATTGAGGTCTTTGTTTCGTGGGCACACCCAGGTTTAGCTCTTTAACTTTTGTCGCTTTTTGTAGTTGTGCAATTGTGGTTAGAGGCATGTTTATGATATAATGGTGGTATTGTTATTGAATGAAATGGTTTTGCATTTTAATTCAGTTTTGCCAAGCTTCAGTTGTATAATTTACTGGTTTTTGATGACTTTGATGCTAGTTTTATATTGAAAAGTACATAAATGGTAGTTTAAGAAGGATGTGTTGTGAATGGAATTATGGGTGTTAAAATTTGCTCATCTAACTATTTTGTTGATTCTTGAGAGCTGGTATCATAATGGAGCTATAAAATAGTTTGGTTAGACTTTTTTTTTTTTTTTTTGGGCTTATGACTATTCATCCAAGTGACATTTGTTTTCTTTCAGAGGGTAACTGACATGGCTTTCTTTGCTGAGGATGTTCACCTTTTGGCTAGGTATTTTTCTTTCTTTAATTGGTAATTACACTGCTTTTTCTTTTGTTTTTTTTGGGTTGCATCTTGGTGATACATTTTTATGCAGTGTGAGTCTAGAGGGACGGGTATTTGTGTGGAAGATATCAGAAGGTCCAGATGAAGAAGATAAGCCACATATTACAGGAAAGATAGTTATTGCTGTTCAGATATTAGGCGATGAGCAATATGTACATCCACGTGTTTGTTGGCACCGGCACAAACAAGTAATGCAACTTTTTAGTGCTTATCCTTAATGAGAGGGTTATCACTGTTTTGTAGCCAAATAGTATTGCAATCTCATTTTGCAGGAAATTTTGGTGGCTGGGATTGGAAAGCACATTTTGAGAATTGATACTATGAAAGTTGGGAAGATTGAAGTCTATTCAGCTGATGCACCTTCCCCTCTCCAATGTCCTATTGACAAGTTGATTGATGGGATTCAGTTGGTTGGTAAACATGATGGAGAAGTTACTGATGTGTCAATATGTCAATGGATGATTACCCGATTGGTTTCTGCTTCTACAGATGGCACGGTTTGTCTTTTCCCTTATCATTTTGTTTTCTTGATTTGTGGATATCTGTGTGGTCTCTCTGAGTTTCATTGTTGTAGAGTGATGGAACATGAGTAAATGCAGTTATGAGTTATGTATGGAATGCTGTACTTACAAGCTTATGTTATGCAACAGATAAAGATATGGGATGACCGCAAGGCAGTACCATTAACAGTGTTGAGACCGCATGATGGCCAACCTGTTTATTCAGCTACATTCTTGGATGCACCTCACCGACCTGATCATATTATACTCATAACTGGGGTAATGATTGCCGTGTTCTCCCTCTGTGTTTGTGTCTGTGTCTGTATCATGCTTCTGCCTATTTGTTATGCACTGACTTGTTATATAAAGTTCATAGTTGTGAAAATTTTTATTGAGCTGGTTGGTATGGCGTAGGAGTCTGTATTTACCTATTGACTTCAGTCTATCTTAAATGTGTTTTTAATTTTGCTTCTCTAATTTCAGAATTGTATTTCTGATTTACTTTGCCAATTTGACAGTCTTATTATTATGATGAACATCCATTTATATGATTTATCTTAGTTGATTTTTTTTAACAATTTTTTCCAGGGCCCCCTAAATCAAGAAATTAAAATTTGGACATCAGCAAGTGAAGAGAGTTGGCTACTTCCAAGCAATACTGAAAAATGGATTTGCACCCAGACATTAAACTTGAAGAGTTCTGCTGAACCTCAAGTTGAAGAAGCATTCTTCAACCAAGTTGTCGCATTATCTCAAACAAGCCTTTTCTTACTCGCAAATGCGAAGAGAAATGCTATCTATGCTGTACACTTAGAATATGGTTCTTGTCCAGCAGCAACACACATGGATTACTTAGCAGAGTTCACTGTTACTATGCCCATATTAAGTTTTACTGGGACAAGTGATCCTCCTGATGAACATATTGTTAAAATATATTGTGTTCAGACACAGGCTATCCAGCAGTATGCTTTGGAGTTATGCCAGTGCATTCCACCACCATTGGAAAATACTGGCTTAGAGAAGTTGGATTCAAGTGTTTCACGTGATGCAACTAACACTGAAGGTTTTGATGCTTTCGATCGATCTGGAAATAAACCTTCTGAATTACCCCTTTATGGTTCAGTTCCCAAACCAAGTATACAAGTAAGTAGCTCTGAAAATTCAACTGCAGCCAGGTATCCTTCAAGCCCCCGTTCTATTGAGGCTAACATGGGACAAGAGTTTAATGCTTTGAATATTGATTCTAAATCTGCCTCTGCTGCTTTGGCATCACCAGCAAGTGATGCTGATATTGTTTGTGTTGCATCACCACCACCACTTCCTCCTAGTCCTAGGTTGTCTAGGAAGCCCTCTGGTTTTCATAGTCCAGCAAATAGCTTTGAGCCGACTTCCCAGCTTGGTGACCATGTTGGAAACCAACTGGTTGCTGATTCTCCTGTTGACAGACAAATGGACACCGTTCGAACAAATTTGTCTGATATGCATTCATCAGAAGATGGTACTAGGAATGATGAGAAGAAAATAGTATCAGATGAGAAATCTAGTGCATGTAATCCGCCTATCATTTTCAAGCATCCAACACATCTTGTGACTCCTTCTGAGATATTGATGGCTTCATCATCTTCTGAAACTACTAATGTCACTGAGGGAAAGGGTGAGGGCGAGGTGAACATTCAAGATGTGGTTGTCAACAATGATGTGCGCAATGCTGTGGTTGAGGTAAAAGTGGTGGATGAAACACGATCTTCTCAGAACAATGAATTTGGTTCCCATGTAGACTCCCAAAATCGAAATTTGGAAAATAGAGAGAGATTCTTTTGCTCTCAGGCTTCAGATCTTGGCATTCAGATGGCGAGGGAGTGCTTTGCAATATCAAGGGATGCTTACATTGTTGACGAATCTCCGCAAGCAGATGGTGTTGGTGCATCAGGGTCACATGTGCAACCTAGTGTTGGTGAGGAAGAAATCCATAATTCAAGAAAAGATCTGTCTGAAAAGGTCTTGGAATCAGCCATGCCTTCTACACATCTGCAATCACCAGCACCAAGTGCAAAAGGGAAGAAGCATAAGGGGAAAAGTTCTCAAGCATCTGGTCACTCTTCTCCATCTTCGAGCCCTTTCAATTCTGCAGATTCTTCCATTGAACCAGGGGGGAATTCCAATCTCCCTTCAATGGGTGCTGCATTTCCTCAAATTGTTGCTATGCAAGAGATGCTTAATCAGGTGATTGCCTATAGACAAAAAATTGGGAAAAAAATTGCTACATGTGTATGAATTTGTTGTATGTGCATTTTTTTGCGTGTTAATAGGTAAGTATGCTGGGGAGAGTGGTACAGATATAACAAATTACTGCACTTGAGTATCATCAAATAGTCTTAAACAGTTTTCAATTGGGTTTATGATCATCTATGGTTTCTTAATTTTGGTATATTTAATTTAGCCCTATATAAAAATAGACCCTTGTGCTATATTCATTTATTTAAAACTTGACCATGGTGCCCTATTATAATTATGGCATTTTCCCCTATTGTTCCTTTTTTGTATTCGCTTAACAATATGTTAGCATACTTTTATAAACAAGTGTATTTTAGAACTTTTTGCTCCACTGTTTATGGTATTTTGACTGTGATTTCAATCATTCTTGCAGCTAATTGCTACACAAAAGGAAATGCAGAAACAAATGTCAAATATTGTCAGCCTCCCTGTTACAAAAGAAGGCAGAAGATTAGAGGCAGCTCTAGGACGGAGCATTGAGAAAGTCATTAAGGCCAACACTGATGCTCTATGGGCTCGTTTTCAAGAGGAAATCGCAAAAAATGAGAAGTTGTTGCGAGAACGTACACATCAAATAACGAGTTTGATCACTAATTTTATAAACAAGGACTTGTTAGCAATTTTAGACAAAGCAGTCAAGAAGGAATTAGCAGGCATTGGTCCAGCTGTAATTCGTACCATTACTCCAGCAATAGAGAAAACAGTAACTTCAGTAATCACCGAGTCCTTCCAGGTTAGACTTCTAAAGATCAAGTTCTTTTGCTAGAAAGCTGTCTTAATGGAATCTAACTAGTCCTTTGTGTGACAGAGAGGGGTTGGAGATAAGGCAGTGAATCAACTAGAAAAATCTGTTAATTCAAAACTTGAAGCTATAGTTGCCAGGCAAATACAAGCACAGTTTCAAACTGCTGGTAGACAAGCCCTCCAGGTATACACAAATTCAACTTCACTTGGTTGAATAGCTGCAGAGGGATATTTTCAGTCTTTTGTTATAAGATTAAATTATTGTCATTTGGCATGTTCCAAGCAATTTCTGGTTATTTATTTATCATTATTGTTTATTTCTTTTAGGAGGCTCTGAGAACTAGTATGGAAGCTTTAGTGATCCCTGCCTTTGAGATGTCATGCAAAGCCATGTTTGAGCAAGTTGATGCTGTGTTTCAGAAAGGAATGGTTGAACATACCAATGCTGCTCAGCAACACTTAGAGTCTGCAAGTTCTTCTTTGACAATTGCTTTAAGGGTATATTTCCTGGTCACATTTACTATTTTACTAGAAGGCTAGTCATTTTTGTTCTTTTTCCTGAATTTATAACATTTCAGCATTAGCTGTTAAATAACTTAATGGTAAGGATTATTGGTGTTTGATGTTTCTTTTTGGCCACTTGAGGTAATATGCATTAAAGCACGCAAATTTATTTGTTGCTATTGAGCTCTTGTTCAATGTGCGGTGTGTTTGTTAATTTACTGTTGTTTTTCAATAGTATTTTTGTATAATTTTCTTCTTCAAAATTCCTTTTAATTTCAGGATGCCATAAATTCTGCATCATCCATTGCTCAAACCTTAAGTGGAGAATTTGCTGATGGACATCGAAAACTTTTAGCAATTGCAGCTGCTGGAGCTAACTCAAATGCAGCAAGTCCATTGGCTTCCCAACTCAGCAATGGACCTTTAGGTGCTCTCCATGACAAGGTATGTTTATTTCAGTCATTTACTTTGTTTTCTTTGCAAGAAGTTAATTCTCAATAAACCTGGACTGCCAAAGTCAAATCTGGTTGTTCAGTATCACTTTTTTTCACAAAATGTTTCAGTTGGCTACTAACTACTTCAATCTTAAAAGGTCCTTCTATCCATGCCTCAGGTTGAGGTGCCCGTGGATCCAACAAAAGAGCTATCAAAATTGTTATCGGAACGGAAATATGATGAAGCTTTCACTATTGCCCTGCAAAGGAGTGACCTCTCTATCGTTGCTTGGTTATGTTCACAGGTGTGCCTGAAACTTTTAAACTGTGAAGATTATATGAAAATCTAAATCATCAATTTTGTCTGAGTTCTTCATGATTTCCCTGTGCTTCATGGTCTCAATTCTTGACTTGAACTTTTGTTTAAAAGACTCTGCAATAGGTATGAAATAGCATTCTTTTGCCTTTTGCTAGGTTGATCTACGTGGCATTCTGTCAACCGCCCCCTTTCCCTTGAGCCAAGGAGTGCTGCTCTCCCTCTTGCAGCAATTGGCCTGCGACATTAACAATGACACACCGCGAAAACTCACATGGATGGTAGACGTGGCCACCGCTATAAACCCGGGCGACCAAATGATTGCAATGCATGTCCGGCCTATCTTCCAGGAAGTCTATACGCGAGTGCACGAGATAAGTAGCTCACCTCTGCTTACAGGTGCTGAACATGCGAGTATCCGTGCTCTCTTTTATGTCATCAACTATGTTCTAATGACTTGTAAATGATTGAACAATGAGGATTTTGGTCATAAGTTTTTGCAAGTCTCTGGTTGTTGTCATGTAGGGAACCTCTGCTTTGTGGTACAGTAAAATCTGGTCCTTATTTTGTAATCGTTAGAGAATTTGGACTATACCAATTAAGGATATTTCAAATTTTTATCTTATATTCAACAGCTTCTGCTGACATCTCTCTTCTAATTTAAAACACCAAAAGGATATTAAAAAAAAAGACATGTGACATTTTTAAAATCTTAACAAAAATTATATATAAATTTAATAAATATAAAAAATATATTTTATATTTTTCATATTAATATAAATTATAGATTATAACATCAAGCTCCATCCAACTCCAACCCATGGAAGAACTCCCTACTATGCTCCAACAAATCATCGAACTTTTCCAGTCTGTTGAGGAACCCAAGGCCAAGTACGAGCAACTCATGTTTTATGACAAAAAACTCGAAACCTCCCGATACGCAATTCAAAAGTAAGGAGAAGAAAGTTGAGGGTTGTTTTCTCAGGTTTTGGACAGCGCTTATCTTGATAAAGACAAGAATGTTGTCTATGAAGCAGATTCTTATTCTGTTCTAACCAAAGGACTTGCTGCTTTGCTTGTTAATGGTTTGACTGGAAGACCTGTCCAGGACGTTTTGAGGGTTTCTCCTGATTTTGTTGTGCCTCTTGGGCTGCAACAGAGCTTGACACCTTCTAGGAATAATGGGTTTTTGAACATGTTGAAGCTGATGCAAAGAAAGGCATTTGAGTTGCTTATTGAAGCTGAGAAGGTAGTGGGTCTTCAGGTAATGGTCAGGTTGTGAATGATGGATTCAATTCTCAATTGGGTAGCAGTGAAAAACCTGTTGACAACTCAATTTTGGACTCAAAAGTTGACCAGAGTTCAGGTGTTAGAGCGAGTTCTCAAAAGGGTATCGAAGAAAGTTCAAGTGGTTTGGGAAGTAGAGGAATGAGGATCAAGGAGAAGCTGGAGAGGGAGCTTAGTCCTGTTGTATTTGAAGTGGAGAATGTTTCTTATCAGCATGCTGGACATGCTGGTGTGAGGGGCAGTCATAGGGAAACACATTTTAATCTGAGAATTGTGTCAAAGGATTATTGTACCTTGGATTCTTGAAAATGCATAAATCAGTTACATGTTAGTCAATTTTTAAACAAGCAACTGCCAATATGGCTGCTTTGTTTGGATATTTTTCACTTTCGTTGCTGCGGTTTTCAGTCATCTTCTTATTTTCCTTGGTTGGACTTTCACTGGAAAGTTTAGGATTTTCAGGCCTAATACTACACGAGGGACTGTCAGTACATGGATAACATAAGATAATTACTACAGCTCTTTGTTGATTTTGTCCTCTATTGAGCTCTTTGTGCATTCCTGGCATGTTAACAATAAAAGATCCTGCTAACTTTGGATCAGTTGACATGATATTAGAGTTAGTACTTGAAAGTTGCGGAGTTCAAAAGAGCTTATATACTTAATATTCTCTACAGCTGGTAAGTATAAAGGTAGGAGGGTTCAAACTAGATTAAGAATTTAAAATAACCATAAAATATCTTGATGTTTTATTCTATTAATATCTTTAAGGTTGTTAAAACATGTTTGTTGGTTCTGCTCTCTTCTATCATAAATTTTATTTTTAAGGCTGTTTAAACTATCCACAGGTTTATTAATTTTATCGACAGAAAGAGTATTCAGAGAATTTTGAAAATGCCCAGAAAAAAATTTTCCTTCAAATTTTCTTTGCGGGTGTCCATGGGCACCCTGCTTCCCTATTTGTATCCACCACTCTTGCATTGACCCTTATTAATTTGCAATATGTGGTACTCAAAAGTTGTGATACTGGTTACTTATGTGGATATCTATTGGCTCTCTCATCATATTTTTATCTAAAATGGTTAGTTTTAACAAGTTTTGAGAGCTGGTGAGTACCAAAGGCTACAATATTATTGCTTTAACTTGCAGGGATGTGTTGTTTGTCTTTGTTGTGTGACACCAAAGCATTACTTGTTCATCATGATAATTTAGGTAAAGATCAATGAATTACCCTTTCATTGGACTCATTAGGTTGTTCTTTGTTCGCTATGTTTGGCAAGACAGTCCAGATTGAACATCTGAGCCACGCCATTCAACTGGTTGGATTCTCGCTAGTGGACTGTTTATCTAAAACAATCTATTGATAACTTTCAATTATCGTAAAAGTTATGTTTGAATCTTGTGTTTGATTGTTTTAATATAATCAGAGATATAATAATTCGTGTATTTATATTTGTTAATTTTGTGTCTGATATATGTAAAATATAAAAATTATCTAATTTGTATCACATACTAAATACAAAATATATATATATATATATATATATATATTTTTTGAATTGGAAGCTGTTGTCGCTTGATAGAGTGCAGAGTGTCTTGTATGCAGCTGCCCTTCCGGCATTCATCTTTTCACTCTTTAGTAAAAGCCCTTCATCTTAACCTACATGACCTTTATTTCCTTTACCAAAATTGACTGATTTTCTAAAGCATCGTTAATCTTTCATCATTTCGTACTTGAACGTATAAATATTTGAATTTTGGTGGTTGAGGTGCTGAACATTTTAGATGAACCTGCTTTTCATATACCAAGTTTTTTTTGTATTCAAGGTTATCAGAATTTAAGCTTTGATAATTAAAATTAAGAGTCTAACACTCTATCAACAGATCATATTTTTCGAACCCTCGACAATTTTTTGTTTCGAATTATATCGATTTTCAAGATCGGAGCTATCAACCACTCAGCTATTTCTTCAAAAGCTAATTTTTATTTTATTTTTATTCCATTGAATTGAACATGGCCATATGAGTTGATACCATTCATTATTTATAGAAAGATATCATGTGTGAATCTATAAATTGATTTATTTAGTTGTATATATAGATATATGAAATGCATGATTTAACATGTCTATTTATGAACATGAAATAAAAAAATCACCATCGATCTTATGTCCAAATAAAAGCGATAAAAAATTAAAAATAAATCATATAAAATCAATCGATTCATGGTAAAATCTTCTATTCTATCTCACATTTTATTAATTTATTTTGTCTATGTGATAGAGGGATCAAATGATATAGTTCTTTTGTTGGTAGCTTGGAGGATTAGAAACATGACTATTGCTTTCTAATGGGCTGTTTTTGCATTAATAATGCTCAATTTCCCCTGAATTACTACCATTTTGCAGAAATCTACCATTCTAATAAGGCTTAAGATGAAAGTGACTTTTGCTTACATATAATGTTGGTAAAGGGTTAAGATTAGTCGAATATGCAATGCAATCATGGCCGGCATGGAATGAGATGCCGTGAATAGCATTCTCTTTTTGATAATTGGGAAAGAATGAGACAGGACACCGGAACCTTAGCTGATGACTGATGCGCCTACAAGCAATAAGAGTAAGAGTTCATCTGGTTGGCGCTTGAAAATTACTGATTTGAAAGAATTAATTCGCATAATATCAAGTTTGACATTTTTTTTGGATTGTCTTTCTTTAGCTCTTTGATTGAACTTCGAAGCATTAATATTCTTGTAGAGTATCTAAGTTTTGTTTGAATTTAATATTCCTCCTTCGAGGATTTTAATGTCGTATTTTTTAATATGAATCCGATATATTTAAAATTTTATGCTCCTGAATTTTTTTATCTAATATATTCAAAATTTTACTTATAAAGTATTTCTCGCTATAATCAACTCAAATTGGAAAAAAAAAAAAAAAATTCCCTTACCGATTGGTCTTTTTTTGTGATACCTATTGCTATTAACCATTATTTGATAAATACACTTTAAAATCATCTGTAGTAGCGAAAGAACCAACTACTATTACCAATTGGGGCTTCCCTCTCTGTTAATATATAACAAATAAAGAAAATAGTAATACTACTTGTTTCACTTTTATTTATTATTATGGCACCATGCTTTGCTAGAACTCAGACTACAACATGTAAAAATAAAATAATAAAGTGACAATGTAATGTAAATTAAGTAGAATAATGAACAATCCCATTGTCAAAAACCAAAACTCAAAAAATAAACCCAATCCACTTTATAACAAACCAAGCTTCAAATCCTTTTTCCAATCAATTTTTTCAATAATCAAATTTAACAATGGCAACAGAGTAAATATTCGTTATTTTCATTGATATTGGTGTCCAGAATTCATTTAATAATTTATAATAACTTTAAATTTAGTATTAATATCTTAATTCGAATTATTTAAACTTTAAAATATGTTAAAATATTTATTTATTTAATTTTTTATTAAAATATAAAATAAAAATTTTTAAATTTAAATTTAAATTTCAAATTTATTCTTAATTAATAACAAATAAAAGTTATTTACTAAAATTTAAAATCTTTCCCAAGCACAAAGTTTTATATATTTTAAATATGTTATTGAATAATAAATTCATATACGAATTTAATTATTTATTATTATTTATTAAAATATAAATATTAAATATCAAAATAATATTATTTTTATTTTATTTAAATTCATCATAAATAATAAATCTTTTATATGAATATATTAATTAGTCATTTATAACTATTCAAATATAATATAAATAAATTTTTTATTTGAATTCATTAATTATTTATTTATAATTATTAAAATTGAGAGGGCCATATAATTATTTCTTCGTAATATGCTTGAAATATTTAAAATAAAGAAAAAAAAAGAAAAATTGGGAAGAAAAAAAGATGTGTATTTACTCAATTCCCCGGATAAAACAAAAAAAAATTACAGCTAAAAACATTGCCACGTAACGTGACATGTGTAAAAACCTCCTACATTTTCGCAACATCTGTGTCCTAATAGGAATCGGATTCCTCTATCTTCTACCAGCACTGATCGGTCTCCCATCTGCGGGTCGGATACACCGAAGTCCTGACCCGCCTAGCACGTGCCCGTAACGACATATCATACACGGCCCTCGCCGTCGGATCCGACAAAGTCGCGTATGCGTTGCGTATCTCGATGAAATCAGTTCCGTCCGATGAAGATCCCATCGCGTCGGGATGGTATACCTTGGCCAAGCTCCTGTACGCCATCTTGATCTCGTTCAACGACGCCGTTCTCTCCACCCTAAGTGTCTCGTACAAACTCCCCGCCACCGCCAGGGCCACCGCCGCGTTATTGTCCGTGGCGGTAGCAGACTTAAAAGACGCCACCGCAGTCTTCCTCAGTCGCGAAATCGGAGAGAAATTGCTGATGGGTCTTGCGGCGAGAGGAGAAGAGAGGGATGCACACATTGGGGAAAGAAGGGCAAGACGGTAAATATGTGTGAAAAAGAGGGATTTTTTTTCTATTGGTTTGGAAGATCGGAGACAGAGACGCAGAGAGTGAGGTACATATATTTATAGGGGTCAGAGTTTTTTTTTTTAGAAAATTGAAAACTAATATAAAAAAATAAACATAAAATGGGTTTAAAAAGGACAAAGGCGGTGTGTCTTGCGTTGTGTTTTGTCGGGTGGTTTTTCCTTTTGGACACGGACATGGCAGTTACTGTCTGAATTTCTGATTTGTTTTAGTTAAAGATAAAGCTTCTAGAAGATCTTGCTTTTGGCTCCGGCTTTAGCTGCAGCCATTTAAGAATTTCCTTCTCTAGTTTCTCGGCTTGGCTTGGCTTTGTCTATGTTAAAAGAAAATCGAATCCAAAGCTATAGCAGTCGAGCTACTTCAACTCGATTCCATGAAGCCTTAAAAATAAAATATATATATATATATATTTTTTAAAATTTTTATTATTTATTGTGATTATAAGTTTTTAAATATTTTTTATCTAATTATACTCTTAAACATATATTTTCTTTTAACAATTAAATTTTATATTTACATTTTATCAAATTGATTTTAAATATAAAAAATAAAATTCAATCAAATTTAAATTGAATTTTCAGTTTTAAATTTTCAATTTTAGTTAAATTCGAATTTGATAATATATCAACTTGATTTTAAATTATTTGAATAATGAGAGAAGCTAAATTCGCTTACTTTAATACTTAAGAGAGGTTTATGAGTCTAATTAAAATGTTTTATATTTTCATATATTTAATGTGTATATAAATAAATAATAAATAATAAATATTAATTTTTAATTTTTATAATAACATTCTATCAAATTAAATTTAAATATAAAAAATAAAAATCAATCAAATTTAAATTGAGTTTTAAGTCTTAAGTTTTTAAATTTAATTAAACTCAAGTTTGATAATATATCAATTTGATTCAATTACATGCTTAATTGAATCAAATATTTAAAACCACTGATTTCATTCATGAAAAACTTTCTATATAATTAGTGATGTATGTTGTTAGCTAAAATTACTACCATTAAATCACTCATATTTCCATAAATATTGTAGGTTTCTATAGTTAGATGCTGGTTTTAAAATCTATGGGCACTACACCAATCAAAAAAATCTATGGGTTGAACTAACTACATTTGAGAGATGTACCATTTGACTATGAATTTTACCTTCCAATTATGCTAATGAGTGTACTTTTTCTCTTCTTTGTTAATCTCTAAACATAGGCTCCTAAAATGGGTTTAAGAGCATTTAATAAGATCATTACATGTCATTGTGTACTTAATGATTATTTTTGTGTTTTATGTAATGAATAAATTTTTTTATTGTTTGATAAATATGATATTTTTCATTGTGCACTTATAGTGATTACATATATATATATATATATATATATATATAAAAGAAGTGAAATAATAATTATATACTTGATTACATGAATAAGCACACGTTAGCATTTCTATTAGAAAAAAGTAATTTCACAAATTGCAAGTTTGATGATAATCCTATACACATTTATATTTTTCACTCTTCCTTCCACTAATTCTATGATAAATAGTTGAATACCATTCATCCCTAGTGATCTTTGTTATAATAAAATGGAATGAAACTATAGAGGAAATGAGTGATGTTAAACATTCATATTAAGATCAACTGATCATAGGTGGAGGTTAGATTTGAATATAAAATTAAAAAACACTTAATATTTAATCAGTATAAGATAACATTATTTTAACAGATCTCTATCAAGTGTAAATGGAGACAAAAACTTATAACATAATAAACTTAAAAATGATAACAAACATGAACAACAAAATGAAACTTGTGCTCTGATATCATGTTAGGTATCTGTCAGTAAAAACAACGCTTAAAAATACAAATAATAAAGAGAACTTTGTTACATAACTTGTGATCTTTTTGTAGCCTTTCTTTTGTAAATTGAGTGGAGCAAATGGAACCTTCAATCAATAATAGAAATGACTTCAAGATGTGTTACAAATACTATTATCTTAAAGGCTTATTTTGCCTTTACTAATTATGGTATACAAAAAATTTCATCTCTACTAATTATGGTATACAAAAAATATTATATCAAATAGCTTCTAAGATGCAATGAAGCCTATGTTTGGTTTACTTTGCACAAGAAAAATCAAACTATTAAAAGCCCTTTAATGAGAGATAGAAATGCATTATCCTTAGCAAGATTTCTGCAGTAAACAATGCCAAAGAAACAAACAATTATCTTGAAAGAAATAGGAGAAAAGATAAGACGAAATTGAATTTTTGAATATATCAAATGAATTTACATTAATCTCTGTTTATAAAGATTTAATTTTAAGGTTGTGGTTTTTTGATTATGTTGTTCCAATCAAAGATCATTTCATTTTATTATAAAGATATCATCTTGAATAATCAAGGATGAGTTGATTTATTAAACTGGTTAAAGTTTTCATTCCAAGAACAATAATTTTTTACATTTTTGAAAATTATAAATTTTCACACAAAGTAGCCAAATCCATCAAGAAGGCAGTTGACTGTCCTTTTGTATTTTCAATTTTCAAACTACTATTTAAAGCAAAGTAATTGACTACCCTTAAAGCTATCAACTCCTTTCTTTTTATAGAATGCATTCATTACATAAATATATAAGAATCGATTTCTTTCAATTTCAAAATGATTCTAATTATAGCTTCATATAAGGCAATCAACTGTCATAGCCTCAAATAAATTTTCAAAAGACTATCAATCAATAACAGTTGATTCCATTAAGGTTAGGATTCGATTTCACTCATATTCAATCATAACAATCGATTAATCTAGGCTAGCAGTTAATGTTATTTAATATGAAAACTATATTTAACTTTTGTCTATTAAAGCAATCGATTTTATGCCAAAAGTAGTTAATTATTCTTCTTAAAAGTTTAAGGTAATCAGACTCCTATTTGCACGACAATCGATAACTTACTTATATATCCTTCTTAATTAGATTCTTTTAAATCAAAAAAATAATTAATCTTGGAACGATTCCTTAAGTTATTTAGTAACTTAATATGATTCTTCTTTGATTAAGTATTTAATCATAATATTTTATGTTTTGAAAAATATTTTTAATAATATCTAATTTAAAATTGGTTAACAATAAATAAAAATATTTAACTTAAATATAAAATCATAAAAAATATAAAATTTAACATATGTTAAGTAACATCATTTTAACAAACGATAACAAAGAGTATTTGATTATAAAAGCATTACAACATCTTAAAGGCAATTTTTTTTGTACGTAAAAAATCATAATTTTGAAAAAAAAAATGTATTAAGATTTAAATTTTAAATTTATTAAATATTATTTTTTAAAATTAATTATATAAATCAATTTAATTAAATTCTAAATTTTACATCGTTTATTATTCCACGCTTAATCTAAACCTTGTTCTTGTTGAGCTTGATTGCTCAAAGCAAGAGCCGGCTAAAGTTAACAAAGCAATAAGCTTTACTTGGAGCCGATGGAAAGCTCACAATATAACGCTGATTCCTCCCTCCCCTGAAGGCTAAACATCTTTCAACCATTATCCCTCTGCGCTGGTTATTCCATTTAAAATACAATATAATAATAAAATTTCAACACGAGATGATAATAAATATAAAATTATATAATTTAAAATTTTAACAAAAATTATATATAAATTTAATAAAAAAAACATATTTTATATATTTTATATAAACTTGAATTATTATACATAATTTCAACGTAAATATATATATATATATACGAAGTATCAATAAATTTTCTTAACAAAAATACAAAAATGAAAATATCTACGCCCTTTCCCCTCCCACCATACAGCACACGCCAAGGTTTCTAGAAGGCTAATAAACCAAAGCCACCTTATACTCTTTAGTCTATCGCCTACACTGACATCCGTGATGGGTTATCTGCCCTAAACCATTCGAACTCAAACAATCGGACGGTGGAGACTCAAGAAAAAGGCCACCCAACTTCAGCTTGTGGGCCTAACTTGTTCACATAAATGAGTTAGGAAGGAATCTCTGCCTTTATGGTGTAGTTTGGCACTTGCGAGGGCTTCTAGAAGCCTTCTTCTTCGTCACTTAAATTATTAAGTGTTTCGAATTTAAAAAATTTGATAATTTAAAATATAATATAATAATATAATACGATAATTATTAAAAAATATAAAAATTATATAATTTAAAATTTTAATAAAATTATATTTGAATTTAATTAAATAAAATATATATTTTATTTTTTAATACGAATTATCAATAGACATATAAATATAATGAATAGTCAAGTCTAAATCTAATTCTTTGTACTTAATGAAATCAAAGTTACGAACATCTCAACTTGTCCTATGGATTGAGTTTTTTTTTTTTTTTCAGAGAAGTTTGGCACGTGAGAAGGCTTCTAGAAGAGTTATATGTTATATATAACGTTAAGTAAATTAAGTAATTTAAAATATAATGTAAAAATAATATAAAAAAATGAAAATGATGCAGATTAAAATTTTTAAAAAATATTTAATAAAAATTTAAAATATATATTTTATATTTTTTATGTTGATATAAATTATAATATGTAATTTTTAAAAAATATAATATAAATATATAAATTATTAATATTTTACATTATATAAATACATAAAAAGCCAAATATAATAATAATAATAATAAGAGTGGAGGGGTAACCTTTTTCTTATTATTATTATTCAAACAACATCAACAAAAGGATGGAATATCTCACCATTTCTCTGTCTAATCCCATGTTTCCAACTGTGTATGTCTTCATGAATTAAGTCAATTATTAATGGTTAATTTGTTTGTGTTATACTATAAAATTGAAAGGTTGTGGCCTACCACAAACCCCTAAATCTTTTTTTTTTCCTTTGTAATGGAGGTTGATGATAATCCTGCTGTCCATTATGTTTGTTTTTTTTTTTTATTGATTGTGCATATTAATTTTTTATCAAACAAATATAATTTAGATTATTATTTTTTAAAAAATAAGATTTATAAAGTTTAAGCTTTAAAATTTTCAAAAACATATTTTTAAAAATTTAATTTAGTATAATATTTTAAAAAAATAATTATTAAAGTTGAGTTC